ATCTACCCTGGCTCTTCCCCTGATGACAGGAGAGCCTGGCGAAGGTGCGACAGGGGTGGCTTTTGGACAGAAGAAGACTACTCTAAGTGCCAGTATGCCAACGATGTCACCCGTGTGCTGTACATAATCAATCAGGTAATTTTACTGCACTGTGAAATGGCCTCTTTTGCACATACAGCATCCCTAAACTCTTTTTGGCGAGTTGGATTCTCCAGCCTTTGAAAATCCAGGGCCTTTTTTCCCCCTTAAAGTTCACCACTTTGTGATTTTTAACACCCGTTTTGCAATTCTAAAATTTGAGGGCTTTAGCTTTTGCTTCATTGTAGTGTTCTGGGAATTTGATCTTTGAAATAGTGATACAAGTAACTGTGGCAAGGAGTTTGTGATCTTAACACGCAAGCCTTCTTCTGCCAAGTTTATGTAATCATTTTGTTCAGATTAGTTTAGTTAATGTTCTTTGTCTTTGGATATAGATAAATTGAAAGTCGGAAGCAGTTATTTTAAAAGAGTATTTTTCAGCAATTTTTAGATGACTTGTACATCTTGGACATAAAGCAATATGTTATCTATATATAAGGGCAGTATGTCCAGACATTCTCAAACACGGCATACATTATATTGCCGACACCTTTTACTAATCCTCTTCATGTAATATATTTTAATTATTAATGGATGTAAATCAAAGCATGGCAAAGACCTCATTTCAGACTATTGAATTCACTCAATTCAGACTATTGAATTGAGTGAATTCAATATTGAATTGAATTGACCTCATTTCAGACTATTGAGTTCATGGAAGGCAATGCCTGCCTTCCATGAACCCTGATTCTTCTTCAGCTTACTGGAGAGCTTTCAAACTATCGAAAGTTACAGAGCCTTGTGGGTTAACGATGCTCATTTTTGTTCCATTTTGGTCCACGTTGTCTTCCCAGGAGTGATAAAGATGTCTTACTGCCACATCCACAAGCTGTAAAAAAAGTTCACCCAAAATAGAACCTATTTTGAAAGTAATAATGCGGCTCTGATGAATGTAAGTGATATCTAGTCTCTGCAGGTATTGAACTGCTGTGTTAAGGTGGATTGCTTTGCCTTTGCAGATGCCTCTAAACCTGACAAATGCGGTGACGACGGCGAGGCAGCTGCTGGCCTACACCGTGGAAGCGGCCAACTTCTCTGACAAGATGGATGTCATCTTTGTGGCTCAGATGATTGAGAAGTTTGGAAAATTTGCCGAGAAGTATAAAGAGGTATATCCACACAGATGGTAGCTACAAGACAGTTTGTCAAAAGCCAGATTCTTCCTCTCTTGATTAGATGAGGTCATATCAGGGTTATCCCTGTTGTTTGCTGGTATTTAAATAGCTCCTTTGTGTCATGTGTGAAGAATAGCTATCTTCTACCGTTCCCCTTCAGTTCTCACCTGTGGAAACATTAGTGAAATATACTAATATTCTGCCTTATTTCTCTGTAAAATCCAAACTGCTGTAAATCCTTAAGTTTGGGGAACAAAATGGTTTTTAATGTCAGTGGTACAGTGGAGAGGCATGCATGTTGCTCTTATGTATAAACTGTGTTGTGTTGTTTTTTAACCTTTTTATGTGAAACAGCTACTGTCTGCTCCCTTGTTTTCATTATTGATTTTAATTGAGTTTATGATAAATAGCGTTTCAAACAAAGCCCTTACAAACATTTTCAGTGATGATCCACAGTTTGCAGCTCTGGGGCCTGACCTCCAATTAACTCTGTTAGTAGTGAGGTAAACTGTTTGGAGCAGCTGTGTTATTGTGTGTGACAACTTCCAGGAGTAGGAAAAAAACGACATTCAATCAGTTTGCTTGCACTCTGCCACAGCTCAACAGGCTCTTGCTAGATATCCTCTGACGTTCATTTATTTTTTTTGTCAAGATGGTTGATAAACCAACCAAAGAAGTGTTGAACAGTATAGCGCTGACTTTGTAATGCCTGGTTTTGGTACATTATCCACTTACAAAATTAGATTTCTTGCTGATACCCCCAATTTAACGAGCTTGCTTTATACAGGTCCCTATCATTTGCAGTTGTCCAGACTTAAGACATTCTGTGTTCTTCTCTTGTCACCTGCTTTGTGTCATGGCCTTCTCTAGATAAATGGCTTCTCAAAGTAAGCTGGAGAAAGGAAAGGGATTTCTTTTTTAATAGAAAAAAGAGCACCTGCATTTTGTTGCTGTGGGAGAGATGAAAGCAATTTAAAACCTGCAGGAGGAAATGATAAATCACCCAGTAATAATTGCCTGCTGCTTGGTTTGTCCTTGTGGCCCTGTGCAGTGCTGAGGTGTTTAATCTAAGCTCCTGTCTGTAACAGCTGATGCTGGCTCTCCCTGCTTGCTGTTGCAGCTGTCACAGAGCAGCTGTGCTCAGCCTGTGTCAGGATTTGTCAGTGCTTTTTCAAGACTCCTTTTTTTTTTCCTCTGCCCTGCTTGTGTGTGGAGGATAAAGCTGCTCCTTCTTATTAATCCATCCTGAAATCAAAATCAGACCGTGCGATAACAACCTTGTGAAGTTGATGCCAAGAAAGACTCAATTTGTAACTGTTATCTGTTTTAAAGGATTGAGTTTCATCCAGCTGGAAAGTGACACAGTGGCTGGAGTGTCTCATTGTATGATACCAGTGGAAAAAAAACAAGATTTTCCATTAGGTGAAATATGAAGTTATACCCGAAAGCTGTAAAAAGTGAAAACTGTAGAGGAGTTCTAACTTGACACAGGCAATAGTCTTCACCACTGGTGTTTCATGGTCTATAAACTCCCAGAGGAGTGTATGGATAACATCTATAAAATACTAAATTAAGTGTTTGAAAAGCTTTTTTGCTTATGCTGAAGACGACAGATCAAGTCCTTTTTGTGCTTGACATTTTTTCTTTAGATTGTATAGAATACTGAGTGTTTTGAAGCCATACTTCCACTGGCAGAAAAAATACTAAATCTCTCCATTCACCAAGGTATGATTTTCAACTGGGAAATGAGATATAATGTAAAAAAAAGTAACGAACAGAAATCTGCAGTGTGGTTTGTATGAATTGCTTGTTAGATTGGTGGCAATTTGTTTCAGGACAATGGGCCAAATTTGATCTTTGTTTTACCGCGGTTATCTAAAAGACAAATAATTTTAAACTGCAGAGAACAGCTGTTTTGTGAGGTTGTGTGTGTGAGCCCGCTAGGCAGAAATTTTCCTGTTTTTCAGCTGGGAGATGTTATGGTGGACATCTCCAGTAACCTCATACTGGCTGATGAGAGAGTTCTGTGGATGGCTCAGAAAGAGGCTAGAGCCTGCTCACGAATTGTGGAGTGCTTGCAGAGGATTGCCAGTTATCGACTGGCCAGTGGGGCCCAGGTTTATTCCACTGTGAGTAGAATAAACTCATCTTTCTTACTTTTTCTTACTTACTTTTTGTACCAACATCACTATTAAGCAAAAGATTTGCTCCATTAATTTCCCTACGATGTTGAATACTGCATCTACTATAAGACATGGCCATGTACAGTGCATATCTGTTCTTTCTGGTGTTTTTATGACTGTATCTCAGTGTGCCTCAAATCCAGTCATTTTAGCCTTTTCAATATTTTCTTCATCAGCCAGTATTGTCATATTAAATCATTTACATTTTTTGCACTGATGAATCCCTGAAAATATGAAGTGTTAATCAGTTGGGACTATATAATACATGATCCTTTACATTTGGAAGAAGGGAAAGTCTGTCATTTGAACCATCAGTGTAGAATATTTTTCTTCTCTAAAGTTTTTATCATTGACTCTATAACGAGCTTTAAGATCTTTGTAATACAGCTCACAGGTTTGACATGTTGTGAAAATGTCACAGTTGAATATGTTATCGTAGACATTTTTCTTGAGATGTTAATCTTATATACCTAAAATACATGGTTACTTCCCAGAGTGAATAAAAGATTAGATACCTGAAAACAAAATATTGTCTGCCAAAGTGAAAAGAGTTTGTGTTAATTGTATCTTGTCTTTGTTAGTACTCTCCGAATATTGCTCTGGAGGCGTATGTGATCAAGGCCAGCAGTTTCAATGGAATGACCTGCACGGTATTCCAGAAAGTCACCCCAGACCGCACAGGACTGGGCGAGTTTAGCAGGAGGGACCCAGATATGAATCTGGACAAACAGCTGAGCTTCAAATGCAACGTCACAAGCACTCTGTCTAGCCTGGCGCTTAAGGTAAGCATGTATCATAAACTTAAACAATTCAATTTTATTTTTATAGCACGAATTGAATTTGGGGTTCATATCAGAAACATAGATTTTGATATCTAGGAAAGCTGTGTGCACATTCGCTTAAGATTTAAATGTGTGGCAATGCTTAACAAACGTTTATCATTATTATGACAATGGACAAATATGATTTTGAAACCATGATTGTAATATTGGGAGAAAGTTAACCTTGTGCTTCTGTTGTAAAATTGTGTCCATGTTCTTTTGACTTATTGAAAAGCGATTGTGTTTCTTAGGAATATACCTATCCAACTTTTAAAGGTATTATAGCATCAGCAAGACAATGATCTGTTTTAGTTGCTTTTTTAAAAGATGAAGGAGAGCAGCAGTGACTACTCAAGTGCAGCAAGCTCTGGTGACTAAATTTCTTGCCTGCTCTGAATTTCTTCAGAACACTATTATAGAGGCCTCTATCCAGCTGCCTTCAACTCTGTTCTCTCAATACACCACTGCCGGCCAACCAGATGAAGCCTATTACAAGCTACAGCTCCTAGCCTTTAGAAATGGAAAACTTTTCCCAACCACTGGGAATTCGACAGTGCTGGCTGATGACCGGAAGAGGAGAAGTGTGGCAACCCCTGTCATCCTCGCAAAGATAGGTGAGCTTGGTCAAGACATATAGATCGAATTTTGATAAGTGAACAATTGGATTTGTCTGAGGCTCCGAGTCCACTTTCTTGTGGAATGACTTAAATTAATTTAACAGAAAATAAGCCATATCTTACTTCATCCATTAAGGCAGTGTATGAAAGCGTATGTTGCTAATACTTTCGCAATTAAATCTTTGAAAGGGAACAATATGGATTTTAAATAAAAATTGAATAAAAGTAAATGTATAAATTGTTTCTTAGTTGGATATATCAACACTGCAGGCTACAGTATTTTGTCCATGGCCGGTCAACTTTTTTTCTTGACATACAAGCGTGGAAGCTTTCTATGTCAACACAAGTAATTTGCTTAACGAGGCTATGATCTATGAATAGAATAGATTCTGCATTGCAATCATTGCCATGTCCAAAAGTAAGGTCTGTTGCTGCAGCTTGGACATGGTATAGACACAGCAGAGAAGTGGCTTTTCCACCCACTTTGGACCACAACTGCTTATCTTTGGTGGTTCCAACACGAGTGATGTTCGGACGAACGCAATGACTGCTTGTGGGGAAAAAAAAATACACCTTTGACTAGAGTTTAAAGTGTTGAAAACTGAGATGTTGGACTAAAACCCGGTACATGCAGATGGTTCCCAGTGGCTGTGAGAACAAGGATTTTCAGTGTAATTTTATGCTGCAGATGGGTATCCTCTGAAAAACCTGCGGAACCCAGTGAATGCCACCCTGCGGCGGTTTGCCCATGGTGTGGACGCGGTAGCGGCTTACTGGAACTTCAGCCTCCTCAACGGACAGGGGGGCTGGGAGTCGGAAGACTGCCGCATCCTCTTCTCTGATGACAACTTCACCACTATTTCCTGCAGTTCACTCAACAACTATGCAGTGCTAATGGTAAAGAAAAATGAATTGATAAACCATCGTTTGGTATTAGACCATTACATATAATGTTTCTTTCTATTTTACTTCTCATATATAATGACTAGCTTATTTTAATATAATTCTCTTTCTTTCAGAGCATGGATAATTTCATATTTAACATAATATTTCTGTTCTTTATCTTAAGTTAAATGTGCCTGTCATTCGATCATATGTGCAAATCTATCACGTTAAATGCACAGTGCAGCAGATTAAATCTCGTTAACAGAAAACCTTCAATATGAATGTTTTTTTTCTCACGCGTTCTTAAATGAATATATTTTAGCTCGGATGAATCGAAAAAGCAAGAAATCCTGACTTAATTTTGATGTTATGGTTCTATTTGGGGAGGGAGCTTTTAAAGTATGGTGTAAAACTGCATTTTGAAGTTTTCTAAAATAATTCTATGGTTTTTTTTATGGCTCTGCCACCCAACTTGTCTCCTCCTGCATAGGGGTTTTCTGGCTTGCACTGTCCTCAGCTTTTTGAAACCCTAAGCAAGTAATAGGTTGGCGTAGTCCTTTTTTTACAACCCTGCAAAATAGATTGAATTGTGGGGTGTTGTGTAACTTTTTTTTTTAGGACCTAAGTGGAGGAGAGTACTTTACCTTAACAACTGAGCTGCTTCATCCAGTCATCTACGCTACTGCCGTGATACTTCTGCTGTGTCTGCTGACAATAATTGTCAGCTACGTGTACCATCACAGGTAAGTCAAATATACTGTAGTTGAAGTATCTGATTATTCACCTTCTGCAGTCTTATCTTACAAGAGTCAAGTAAGGATAATCCGGAATTTCTATAAAATCCCTAAAGGAACTGTCTAGTTTTGCCAGGGTTAATAAAGAATTAAGAATCGTGGAAAAAAAAAATCAAACGGCTTTTTTAAAGCTGTTTATTTTTGTGTTATAGAATTTGACAATCCAAGATTTTCCAAGGATTTTGTTTCCGCATTGTTCGTAACTGTGCTTTGATTTTCCAGGTCTGTCCGAATCAGCCGGAAGTGCTGGCACATGCTTGTTAATCTGTGCTTTCACATTCTCCTGACTTGCGTGGTATTTATCGGAGGCATTAATCAGATGCGCAACACCAGCATTTGCCAGGCAGTAAGTTGCATTTTATTTTGTTTCAGAATCTTGATGAAGCATGGCATTTGAGAAAATAATGGGAACTAGTAAAACACTTCAGAATGCCTCACTATTCACACCCTTTATATCATAAGATTTAAAGATTATAAGATCTTGTTAGGAAAATGTCACCAAAAAAATCTTTATTCCTGTGGATAATTATGTACCAACGTTTATTCTTTTCAATGAGATTTATTAAAAATGTAATTCAAGCTATTATTTTGCTTAATTTTGCGACTCAATAAATTTGCTTAACAGTTTGCACAAAAGGGAAATCTATTAAGGGAAGCTGAAATGTTAGTCATCTTTTTAGGTGGGGAAAACGCGTATTTGACAGCAGTGATAACAAGAAAATATAACAGGACAATTGCGCACCATTTCCTACAGGGCATAACTTGGATGCAAGTAAAGATTCATGTTTAGAATATTATACTATTTATACTTCTGTATTCACTTCTCAAATTGTTTCTGCAGGTGGTAATTATAATTAAATTACATGCTGTGTTGTCAGTGCTGTTTGTTGGCGAATGTTTTGCACATATGTAACAGTAAATGTTTAATGTATTATAGAAGTTATGGGAAATATCTGGAGAATTCTACTTTCTAGGCTCCTTTACAGCAGAAAATCTGACAGCACTTAGAAGTCATTAAGAATTTGTGCAGGTTAACACTGAATTACTTAATGCAAGCCAGATAAGCAATTGAATGCAGATCTTATATACAGTATCTATTGTCAGTATTTGGTTAGCTTGTAAAATTGGTATAAAGTGGTATCTAAGTGGTACTGTATGTGCATACTTCATGCAGTTAACTATCTGGAATATTTAAATTCAGTTAGGATCATCAAAAATTGATTCATCTTCTCTTGATGTGGTGTAATTGTGACTCGATTATAACTCATTAATTTTCCTCAGGTGGGGATCATTCTGCATTACTCCACACTGGCCACTTTGCTGTGGGTGGGCGTGATGGCCAGGAACATCTACAAGCAGGTGACCCGGAAGGCAAAGAGATGCGAGGACCTGGACGAGCCCCCTCCCCCACCGAGGCCCATGCTCCGGTACGACCGCTGATCGAGCTGTGACCAAGCAGTCGCTGCGTTCTCCTCCGTCCGTGTCGGAGTGTCGCAACACTTTTCTGAGCACTTCGCGGGAAGTAAACGCTCAAACTGCAAAATATGTCGAGTTTAATCGCAGGACCTTTTGCGATGGGGGAAAATTATGTAAATACTGAATGCGTTTGGAGCTGCTGTTCCTCACCTTATGTAAATAGCTATTCTGAACTGCCTCTTGACTAGATCCAATAAAAGAAACTAATATTCAGTAAACATGGTGAGCTGAAAAGGCTACTCTTGGTGCAGAATGTCTTTGACCACAAGATGTCAGTAATGATCATTCTTGAGAATTATATCCTTGTAAGTAATGCCAAGTACTCACAGAGGCTGGGTTTTTGCCTCTATTTAAAAGTGGAAAAGATCATTGTGTTTTATAACACAGCTACACTTTTTAAAATATGGGTTTTAGTTGTCTGGGTAAAAAAAAGACAACTACTCATAAACAAGCACTCAGACTCCGTTAACGACACCCTAAACGTCTTCATTTTTTGTTTATATAGAACAAATACATGGGAGAAAATATGTGATGTAAATATTTAGGTTTGTGATAAGAAATGCGCTGCATTAATAATTTTCTTTAAGCTTAAAACATTGATTTGCTCAGTAACATAGTAGATTTAATGTTTGAAAATATGAACAGAAGTTATAAATGACTCATATTTGAGTCTTTCCACTGCTAATTCATTCAAAGCAACTCCTCAGGGTTATTCATTATGATATTATTTTAACAGATGGTTATTCACTGTTATTAACTACTTTGGGTCAGTAGTTCACAGATTAAGAAGATTACTACATTACAGTATTGCACAGACTGCATTTTGTCTGTATTTGCTGCCAACTGTATATATTTACTATAAATATGAATATAGCAGTGACGCACAGGAATTTCCTGGAGTAATCTAGTTTTCCATTTTTAATATTTGTCTAACAGTAGATATTGTTTTAATATAAATAACAGAAACCGGATGTCCAGACATGTACATGTATACGCACAGTGCCAACGTTTACATAAATGTTATAAAGTAGTGATTATCATCATAATACTATCCATAAAAAAACAGTCAAATAGTAATGTGTAATTAAACCAAAGCCACCCACATTTTCCCAAACAAAAGAAACAGTGAACATATTACTTGATTTCCATACTGCCATGAGTATAAAGGATGTCCTTGGGTTGATTTGTACACATTTTCAATTTGTTGAGCAGCTTTGAGAAAGTCTGTTTTTTGGAGTTTTGTGGTAATTGATGTTATTGAGGAAAAGCACAGGTACAGTAGGTGGTACAAAATGTGGCTTTTTGTTACATTGCACGGTCCTTGATTTTTACCTCCAACCAAATGCTTGTGAAGCTGATAAATGCATTGTTTTAAAGGTCTTACTTGACCAAGTATTCTGTTGTATTTATAGAGATAGCCACAGCCATTTCTTTTTCTTCCCTGTGACATGAATTTGAACCCGGAAAGTTTTGTCGATCTTTTTCTTAATGAAAGACCCCTTCTGAGAGACACTGCACAAACACGACTTAAACATTCTTTTCCAGAAACATCTGTTGCTTTGTCCAGTTGCCAGGTGTATTTATTGCAAATTTTAGTCCTCTCCATGGGCTACATATTGTTAATCAAAAGGCATATCTTTGTTTTGTTTTTTTTTGGCTGTTTAATGGTTAGTTCGAGAGAAGCCCTAGACAGCTCCATTTATGACGGGTTCTATTGCTACTAGATGTTACTCTCCAGTTGTGAAACTAATATGCTGTGAGAGAGTATAACTTTTTACTGTTAAGATGACTGATTCTTTTAATACATACTTGCACACTTGCAGAATTCAGATTCTTTCAGGTTTCTAAAAAGCAATGATTTATCCAGCAAATGAGGATGTCTGGAATACAAAGAACTAGTGTTTTGAAGGCTTCATTAGTCCATTTGTAATGTCTCAAAACAACGTCAGTTGTTGTGAATTTAGATTATCAATGAGACTAATACCTCACAATTTTAAATTTCTCATACTTCCATATTACATGTTTCACAGCATGCATCTTTTTTGGTGTTTGTTTTACAGGGTTCTTTATTCAGAAATACCCTTTTAAGAAAATGGTCTGTTAAAAGCAAAGTTTAATAATAATCCTATTTTTCTCTTACAAAAACAAATGAACAAACATAGTCACACACACGTTTTAACATCTCACTTTGCTGTTTAAGCAATTTGGATCCTTTGAGTGTTACTGTCTCAGTGCCCATCATTAAAAAGGAATGCTCAGACATAATCCATAGGGAATCTTCCTGCAGTCTTTTGGTAGCTCATGACCCTGCATTTGGAAATCTCCTGTCTACAGTGTTGGAACATGGACACAAAAGCATGCCGTCTTGTACTGAGTGTTGACATGGTTATTCAAACAAAAATGTCAACATGTGTGAAAAATAGCTTTATGCTGTTCTTTTGGAAAATGTTAAGACTTTGGTGACATGGCAGTGTTTTGGTTATGTGTGCATGATTAACTTGAGTTAATATTTAAGAGTTGATGACACATTTTAAGGGTTGTTGAAGGATCTCTCTCTTCAAACTGCCAATGCATCATGGGGCATATACATATTTCACCTTACTTAACTACCTGTTGAGTTTCAATATATATGAATTGGTCTCGCTGTAAGATATTTAAATTTATTTTCTTGTCTAAATTGAATTGCCTAAATCGAATTCCTAGCACATTAATGATATTACTAAACTGCGTTGTCTTCATCACCCTCAAAAACGTGTGGTGCACCTTTAAGTCTGATGTACGTGTAGGGCTCATTCCTGTATGATTCGAATTAATGATGAAGAAAGGGAATATCTGTGTTACCGTGGATGAAATTAATGCTACTTTATCTTCTTCTTGCAGGTTTTACCTAATAGGTGGAGGAATTCCTGTCATTGTCTGTGGAATAACTGCTGCAGCAAATATAAAAAATTACGGAAGCCAAGTGAATGCACTATAGTAAGCACAGTAGTTCATTTAATAAGTAAAGATGAATTCCTTTAGTAAGATTGTCTGCTGCTTTCTGTTGTTGTAGAAGCTTTCATTTATCAACTGGTCTGTAGTGCTTTCAGCAACAAAACTTTGTTTTTCACTACATTTCTCAGAAATTTCAATAGGGAAGTGTTTGCCTCAAGATGGACATGGTATCTTTGAATTTCTTAGAGCTATATTAAAGTGTGTTGTTTTCCATCATAATTGCCACTAAACTAATTATGGCTGTCTATTTATAGATCTCACTTTACTTGCTTGCAACTGCTGTTTCTAAAGCTGTTCATCTTTGACGTGACAGCTGTTCACAGTTACATAACAGCAAATAGCAATTTTATATCTGCAGTGTAGAAGTATTTGATTGAAACTTCCATTGTACAGAAAAATCAATGAATCATCTCAAGATTTAATAACAGATGTGGTGTTATTAGAAAAAATATAAAACAGTATATGTACCATATTTTAGAATGCATACTTTAGTATAACCTTATTGGGTTTTGTTTTTGCTCACCCTCAGTTTTGGCTATTGATGTTTCCAGTTCACACTATAACAATGATCATACATAACATTATAAATATTAAATCACCATTCCAACCTGAAGTTCTCGTATATAAATAAAACCAAAGAAGGCTGGTTCATTAGATTGTGGACACCATCTAATTGTCTTTCGCAAAAATGTAATGTTTAAACTTCAATCTTTCAGCTGTTGGATGGCATGGGAGCCCAGCCTTGGCGCGTTCTATGGCCCAGCGGGATTCATCATCTTCATAAACTGTATGTATTTTCTTAGTATCTTCATCCAACTAAAAAGGCACCCGGAAAGGAAGTATGAGCTCAAGGAGCCAGCAGAGGAGCAGCAGCGCTTGGCAACCAACGAGCACGGAGAGACCAACCTCAATGACTCTCTGTCCATCTCCCAGGGCAATTACTCGGCCGTCTCTCTGTCAGCCCTGGAGAATGAGCACACTTTTCCAGCACAGCTGTTTGGTACTAGCTTGACCCTGCTGCTGTTTGTGGCTTTGTGGGTTTTTGGGGCTGTGTCGGTCTCGCAGGATTACCCAGTAGACCTCATCTTCAGTTGTCTTTTTGGGGTGGTGGCATTGGGCCTGGGTGCCTTTTTAGTGGTCCACCACTGTGTCAACAGAGAAGACATGCGCCGTTATTGGATCTCTGCCTGCTGTCCTGGGAGAAGCACTTATTCTGTGCAAGTGAATGCTCCTCCAGTGGGTTCAAGCAGCGGGAATGGTGAGGCTCCTAAATGTGCTAACAGCAGCGCTGAATCCTCTTGCACGAACAAGAGCGCGTCCAGCGTTAAAAATTCCTCCCAGGGCTGCAAGCTGACTAATCTGCAGGTTGAGGCGGCTCAGTGCAAGCCAAATCCTGCCCATAGCAATGGGGCAGCCCAGGTGGATAACAGCCTGACAGAGCATTCGTTGGACAATGAAATTAAAATGCACATTGCACCAGTTGAGGTTCAGTTCCGTCCAAATGGGCACCCGGGCAGGCACCATAAAAACAGGACTAGAGCCCACCGAGCCAGCAGGCTGACGGTGCTGAGAGAGTATGCCTACGATGTTCCCACCAGCGTGGAAGGGAGCGTACAAAACGGCTTCCATAGAAACCGTCACAGCAGCTATGACAGCCACACGAGAAACCGCCGAGCCGCCTACTTGGCCTACAGAGAGCGGCACCAGAACCAGTTCCAGCAGGACAGCAGCGATGCCAGCACCACAATGCCCAGACGCAGCAGGAGCACTGATAAAGGAGGAGGTGGCGGCACAGGGGAAGTAGGCTGTGGAATATCAGACACAAGCAAAGACAGCTTAAAGCAACCAATCCTTGAAATTGAGAGCCAGAAGTCATATGGCCTGAATTTGGCTTGTCAGAATGGACCACTTAAAGACAGTGGGCAAAATGTGCCATTAATCAACGCAGATAACACTGGCAATATAAGGACTGGCTTATGGAAACATGAAACTACTGTGTAGTGATCATTTCTTTTTAATACCACCCTATTTACTATTCCCTGAACTGTGAAATACATTATTTCGAGCTTTAATCACTGTTTAAGTGTTCTGCAGGTGTCTAAAATATTTAATGTATAAAAAGTCATGATGATTCAGTACGTGAAGCTGTCATGCTTGTATATTTCAGTAAAATGATAAGAGTGTGAAAATGAGTCAAGTCACACTTGATTGTACGAGGGCACGTTTATCACACTTGTAAATTGTCTATTTTTTATATTGTCGGATCCTGTTTAATATACTATTTGAATTTTGTAATTTTTATATGTGACACTGCATGATTCGTGCTGTTGCCCTGTGAGTATAACGGGGGCAAGTCAATTCTTTTTTCATAATAAACAGAATGTGTTCAATTGCAGTTAAACTCAAGACTACTGCATCACTTGACATAGTAATGACAAGTACTTGTTGGTCTGAAGTATCTGAAGTTATCAGAACTTTTCCAAAGATGGCTAGTTAATTGGAGACGTTTCCAACTATAGGACTCCTATTATTATATATATATTTAAAATGTTTATTTTTTTTATACACTCTCAAAACACCAATAGGAAACAAGAATGAAACATTAAACATTAAAAAACCTGCGACAATGATAAGAGTAGAAAACATATGAAATCTTTACATGTCAAAACTAAAATAATGAGTTATATGTGTTATACTGTCCTGTATTTAATTGGGGCCAAGGTCAGTCGAGACAATTTGTCAAGACCCATCATCCTTATTTGGTGGAAATCCGGGAATAAATGACAAGTTATATTTATGTCAACTCTGTGGTTACTTGGAGTGCTGTGCAAGGAAGATAATTGGTGTTGTTATCTTTTAAAGTTTTAAATGCACACATTTTCTCAAACTTGGAATGGAACAAAATCAATGAATGCACACAAAGGAATGTGGCTGCCAACTTACATAGTACGATATGAAATTGCTCTTAGTCTTTGATTGCTATTGACAACTCTCTTCTCACTCCTGAAGAAAGCTCCACAACTGGGACCATGTTAAATTTTGCTGTTAATATTTTAATTGCATAGATCTGCATTATTGTATCACATTATTTTATTTATTTCTGAGTTCTGTGACTTCAGGATTATGCCCGACCTTTAAAAAATGCTTTTCACAGTCATGTCATTACAAGGGTTATTAAATTGCCTGCTCTTTATATTGAGTGACCTAAGCAGATATTGATTTTGATCATCTTAAACACAGCTCCCTTTTATGCATCATTCAGATAATCTAATGTGTTTCAAATTCCTCAAAAGGCAAGCCAAGGATTTTAATTAATGGTTCCCAATCTTGATGGGGGAATAATTAATTAATTTTTGGATGTTTAGAACTGGCAGAACACAAGATTTAACATGTCAAATTTGCCAACAAGTAGGTAGCTGTACCAGCATGTGTGGGCTGTAAAGGAAAAGGTAAAGTTTTATTCCATGCTGAAAGGTAAGGAGAGAAACAGTATTTTTCTTTCTCGTTTCTTTCCTTAACCTTTCAGGATGAAATTTGCCATCAGTCATTCCAAAAACTCTATACCCCTGGTTGATTGACTTAGCCCTGTTTGTAGCAGTTTGCTCAGACTTCGTCACTACTTCTTTGAGAAGTTGCATTTCTGCTTGATGCAAGTAAAGCCCCAAAGGTTAATAATATTGATGAGGAGCTGTGTTGGAAATTAATCCTCTTAGAAATAGGGTCCAATATGTTGGGTTCCAGAAACAGATAAATGGCAGGCCAGATTATAATTCTGGTTTGGGTGGAACTGGTTGCCTTGACATAATTATAATTAAAGAAGCTTAAACGGTCTACATTCAAGAAACCAGAGGCATTTCAAGGCAGTTGATTTTCTGTGAAAGAAGTCGCTTCTAACCCAAGGTTTACACATGGATTAAAATACTTTAAATGAATCTCGAAAACGCTGCTATCCAGCAAATTTTAATACTAATTAATGATTTAATAGTAATTATGAATTCTAAAATTGTTTACCTAACAGAAGGCCGCAAGGTCAAGTCTGGCATCCATCACAGCTTGAAATGGTCATATTGCTGGAGACCATGTTCACTGTTAACATGATGAACGTAGACCTGCTGCTCACCCAGGTAAGGTTAATCCTCCAACAACATTTATAAGATTTGGTAGATGTTGCATTGTTTACAGGGCCTTTTGGAAGAATCCTTTCCTCAACTGCTTTGTTCAAAATTCAGATTTAGTTTTATTCAGCAGCCATCTGGTGGCTAGTAGTTTGTCACAGAGCCTTAGACATTAGTGATCTGTGATTCACTCTCCGCACTCCCTGACATTTATATGAGGTAATCTGTGTGATTTATGTATACCCTATATTTATCATAGATTCATTTTGTGCATGTTGCATAGCGTCTGCTTTTAAAGTACCTATCACCTCCGTTTCCTCTCAACAGGAGTTTAGGAGATTTCAGAAATATTGGGCTATACTTTGGAATGTAATCCCCTTAGCTCAGAATGGAATGATGTTATGCTATTGCTTCATTAAAATTGAACACTTTTAAATAGGAATTAGATAGCCCATTCATGTTTCCCCCACATATGTTATAGAAATGTAATCCTTTAAGCACTTTTTCTGTTTTGCTGTAGATGTTTGAGAACCATGGTTGTGAAAATCTGTTATCCGCAATCAGGAACAGTTAACAAGTAGAAACTAGTTTAACCCCATAACATAGCTTACCCCTCTCAGGCAAATGAAAAACCACTGTGCTTTCCAGATGCTTTCCTTTTCAGTATCCTTTCTAATTTGTATTGTATTAAATGCCTTGTTATTATATAATCCATCCATTTTCTATTTTATCCAATACAGGGTCACAGGGGAGCTGGAGCCTATCCTGCGGCACAAGGCAGGATACACCCTACATCGCTACAGGATGTATCGCTACCCTACAGGATACAGACCAGTCCATCGCAAAACGCACACAGCAACAAAACCAATTGACCTACCAGTGTCTTTGCATGTGGGTGGAAATTGGAGCACCCAAAGGAAGTACACATGAACATGTGGAGAATATACATACTCCACACAGGTAACACCCTAGGGATTGAACCCATGGCCTCAGTGCTGCAAGGCAGCAATGCTAAACACTGCGTCACCCTCCTATTATATAATCCACAGGATAATAGAAGAGAAGTAAATGTTACCAGCATAGCTTGTTTCCTTCAAGAATAAAACAGTCGGAACCGGTTAAAATCTTTCTCATTGACGTAATATTCTAACTTTTATTCAGAGAAAATATAGAATTTGTGATCTTCTTATTCCAAAATAAGGCTGAACTGCTGTACTAGTAGACATAAATTAGTTTCCATATCAGCAAGCCACTGCTCTGTTTGAATAGGCAAAGAAAAGTTCTGCTAAAATAATGCAGAAGGCCATCTCTAGTGAGAATATTGTCAAATGTCTATTTTAAAAGTTATGCAACTGATATAAAACGTGGTCGTTTAGCAACATTGTCAAAATCAAATATCAAGATGCATCTGGGTTTGCAAGTGAAGTATCATACACAGAAAGATTGTTCCTGAAAGGTCACAGGGATCATAGAACCATGAAACTACATCCATTCCTAAGCCTTTACTTCCGTTCCCTCAGATGGTCAATGCAAAGAAAATCCTCACTGCTTAACACATAAAATGAAACATTCAGCACAATTGTTCTTGGTGTTCTCAAATGGTATGAACTGGAATGAGTTAAGGCTGAGAGCAAGGCATAGGGAGAGATGATGCCTGAGCTTTCATCGCTGCTAGCAGATAAAGGGCATGTCCTATATCCCCTGTGAAACCAATTGCAAGGTGTTTGTGTACTTTGTGTTCGTCAGCTCTAGATTTTTTTTTGCTGTTGAAAGAATCTTTCATCCTAGTTCTATGCAAGTGTTCCTAACGGATCTTGAATGGCAGCTCAATTCCAACAAAAACTTAGAAAGGTCTCGGAGTAGTTCTGCATTGTAAATAAAATATTAATTTTAAAAAATGTATTTTGTGTTGTTTTTTTTAATCTATGAGCAGTCACATAAAACGTTTTTGTAAAGATCATAAATTATGGCAGTACAGAAGTTTCTTTCAGACTAGTGTTGCAGTTTCCACAATTTCAGGCAAAGGAGTAGGACTAGGCAGCCCACACTTGACCTGGATGCCATGTGAGCCTTGAAACCTGGGCATTGATAGTGCCATGTACAGATCAGCTGAGCCTCAAACAAAAGGTAAAGATACTACAAAGCTCTACCCCTAAAAAAATAATTTTACTTTTGACTTAACGTGTCCCGAGTTACTAACGAGCTCTTTTAGTGAAATGACAAACACGACAGGTAGCTGTAAGAACAGCTTGAAGCCGTGAAAAGTTCTTGACAGCCATGCTGGCAGCAGAAGATTAAAGAAGAATGATGGGATTTGAAAGCAACGCTGGTGGATGTCAGTAGTAAAACTAAAAGGTAGTATATATTCCTCTGTGAGCTTTTAAGGGGATAATGTCCAATTAAAAACAAAAATATGGGTATCTCCAGAGTTTTGTCCAATATACTTAAATATCCGCAAGGGTAGATACCTTGCTCTGAGCCAAGAAGAATATGTAATTTATGCTAAAATGAAATGTAAATATTTTTTTTGTCCTGGTCGCAAGAACTAGTCTATTTGGATACTTGCAATGTTATTCCAGTAGTTGTCATCAGCATACACCAGGAAGTGTACCCCCTTTCAAGCTTTACTGAAGGTAATTTAACAGGAATTAATTACATTTTAATGTCCTTTAAATACCCCTTATCCATAACTGTCATCAGCCATTATATTGTTGATGATCTATGCAGAAAGTCCAATTTTCCCCAGAATAATGTCTTTAATGCATATTTCAAACAGGCTAATATATATTGCTACACCATCCTGGATGTATAAAAACTTAATAAGGCTCTATAGTCTCTTATAGCGTCTTTGAATTATAGCTTGGTTAGAATAAGTTATACCAGGTATTAATGTGCTGTTGAAGAGTCTTAGTGATTGCTGCTGTCTAGTTCTAAACAATACATTATGGTGAGGGTTCTACAAGACCTCCTTTGTACATTAAGAAGTAATTTAAATCACATTAAAGCAGACTCAAAACAATGGCAACCATTGGACAGAACATAAACACAGTATTTTTACAGGTTTCCTCCTGTGCCAATCTTTATTTCCTGACAAAATGGTAGGACGTCTGCCAGCTGGTAAAATTATATGCTGTATTTCTAATTAGTTTAACTTTGTACTTAATATTACTATTCCAAATGCCTGTAGGAACCTTCAGAAAGTAAACGTTTACTTAACATGGTGTAGACTCTGGTCACCATTGATTATTGCTGTTGGTGAGGATCTAAAGACTTGCACAAATGACCAGATTT